GATTTTGTATTATATTGTTGAAATGATATGTTATTTCCCTTACATATGTCATGTTGTTGAGAACAATATATTAGATTTATCTCTCTTACAATATTTATCTTTTGAAATCAATGTTGTTGAGAATAATATAATAGAGTTATCTCATTTACAATATCAATTTTTTGTAATTACCTTGTTAAGAATTATATGATAGAGTTATCTTCCTTACAATATCAGTATACTAAAGTCATTGTTGTCGACAATAATATAATAGAGTTATCTCCCTTAAAATATAAGTCTATTGCTGTCAATGTTGTTGAGAATAATATTATAGACTTATCTCCCTTACAATATCAGTCTTTTGCATTTATGGTGTGGAGAACAAAATAATAGGGTTATCTCCCTTACAATAGCAGCTTTTTGTAATTACGTTGAGAATCATATGATAGAGTTATCTCCCTTACAATATCAGTATACTAAAGTCAATGTTGTCGAGAATAATATAATAGAGTTATCTCCCTTACATAATCAATCTATTGAATTCGATGTTGTTGAGAACAATATATTAGAGTTATCTCTCTTACAATATAAATCTATTGAGATCAATGTTGTTCAGAATGATATAATAGAGTTATCTCTCTTACAATATCATTTTTTTTTGTAATTACCCTTTTAAGAATTATATAATAGAGTTATCCCCCCTACAATATCAGTCTATTGATGTCAATATTGTAGAGAATTATATAATAGAATTATCCCCCTTACAATATCAGTCTATTGAAGGAAATGTCGTTGAAAGTAATATGATAGAGTTATCCCCCTTGCAATATCAGTCTTTTGTATTAATGGTGTCGAGAACAAAATAATAAAGTTATCTCCCTTACAGTAGCAACTATTTGTATTTGAGTTGGCGATAATGATTTAATCGAGTTATCTCCCTTACAATATCAGTCTTTTGAAATCAATGTTGTTGAGAATAATATTTTAGAGTTATGCCCCTTACAATATCAGTCTATTGATGTCAATGTCGTTGAGAGCAATATAATAGAGTTATCTCCCTTACAATATCAGTCTTTTGTATTTATAGTGTCGATAACAAATAATAGAGTTATCTCCCTTACAATAGCATTTTTTTGTATTTGAGTTGTCGATAATGATATAATCGAGTTATCTCCCTTACATTATAAATTTTTTGTTACTACATTGTTAAGAAATAGAGTTATCTCCCTTACAACTCTCAGTCTACTAAAGTTAATGTTGTCGTGAATAACGTGAAAGAGTCATCTCCCTTACAATATCAGTATATTGACGTCAATGTGTGAAT